CAAGTCCCACGTGAGGCCGTGTGTGCCCAGGACTCCAGCGGATGTGTGGGGGTTTCAGAATCAAGCTGGTGGGTCTGAATGGGACAAACAAGCGTGGGGGGTGCTCAGAAGACAACTAAGCTGGCCAGGCTGGAGAGCACTCAGCTGAACTCCACCCAGCACCACAGGCCCTGGCTGTCAGGCTGCAGGCTCCCTCTCCACTGCTGCTCCCCTCGAGGGTGTTTGTTCAGACAGGGCAACGAGGCCCTAAGGGACACTGGGGCTGACTGGCCCCACACACTCCCCTCTGCAGCCCAGCTGAGTTCTTGGCCCTAGGTGGTTCCTTCAGCAGTGAAGGACTTGGCCCAGGAGCTCCTGGCCAACACAAAGCTGCCCAAAGGAGCCAGCCTCTGGATTTCTACCTGACTTTCAGCCCTGTCTGAGCAGCATGAAGGTTGTGCAGATAAAACTACCGGGTGGTTTCTGCCTGGGACAGCACAGGGCCAGGCCAGCACTAGCTGAGCCAGTGGGGACACGGGGGCAGGGACACTCACGTGAGGCAGAGCTCGGCCCCCAGCCAGGTTTTTTGCTGCCACCCCACGCCAGCTGCCTGAGAACTCACCTCTCTGGTCATTGAGCCCTTTGGTAGCACGTTTGATGCCTGAGAAATTCAGAAAAAGGAGACGTTTCATTGTGAGATAATGAACCCATAAGAGAAATCCACTCAGGAGGGAACCTCAGCGCTGGCTCGACACCCCACGTGTGCCAGTCCGTGGTGTTCCCCCAGTTAGAAGTCACTGCAGAGGAAGAGAAATTCCTTCAGGATTTGGCAACAGGCAGGTCCCTTCAGCCACCACCACACGGTGACGCCACTGGAGAAGCATCTAGGAGGAGTCCTTCCCCTCACTGGGGCTGGGGCGGCCTGACAGCCTGAACAGGGTCTCCCTCATGATGTGGAAGCATCTGTCAGTGAGGTCAGAGACATCATCTGAGGTCAGGCCTTTGGTCTCTATCGGAGGCAGAACCTCAACCTTGATTTTGCCTAGGAGAAAGAAAAGGGCTTGTGAGAAACCTGCACAGCACAGAGGCAGCATTCTCTGCCCTCCCAGGCCCCTGCTCCCCACACCCTGCAGAGGCAGCACAGCCCTCAGCCCCTGCCAGGGCTCCCTGCAGCACGGGGACAGGCTGCACTGCTCTCGGGGGGCAGAGATCCCTCACTCTGGGGACTGGGCTCTGCCCCC